GTAATATTATTCCTACTTCGCGGTTTTTCATTTATCGCGGGTCTTCAAGGTACATATCCTCCTCAATAAATGAGGGACTACACTGTATTTCGATTAAGAAAATATTTGTAAATAAAATTAAATATTTCGAAAAATATAAAAGTTACAAAAACAAAATGACATAGCATCCATCCCCTAAATGAACTAAATATTTCGATATATGAGTGACTAAGGTCGTTTTCACACTAGATAGTCCGGTAGACTCGGTTCGGTTCGGGACCAATATTCATGACATTTTGTTACATTTGAGCTGGTGAGTTTGCATTCACACTGCACTGTGCAGTCGAGCCAACCTGTTGAACCAAGCTGTTCCCCCGCTCGCCTGTGGGGGCGCTGCACCAAGAACTACTGAAAGAAACGACAAAAACCTCTGAAGACACGTCTTCTTCTTCTTTTGTAAATAAAAACAAAAACGAAGTGGCATCAAGTTTTAACAGTTTTAGGAGTTATATTTTGTCATTTTTCAAAAATGGACTTAGCATGAACAGAAGATGAGACAGAAGACCATGGAGAATATTGTTTTTCCACACAAGGCAGCTGACGGCTCCATATAAGGTCAGAGCAATGCATGTTTGTTTACCCTGCGGAGCAGGGTCGGGTCTGTTTACATTCACACTGTACTTGAACCGCGCTGGAGTTTGTTTCTACCAGACCGAGACCTAGGTTTTAGCCCGGGCCAGAGTTCGCCTTTTTGTTCCGTGACAGAGTTCGATGGTGCGTTCACACCTCCCTAAATGAACCGGAATTTCTAGGAAAACGAGCTAGAGTTCGATTAAAGCGGACTAAACAGGGCTAGTGTGAATGCACCCTAAGTAGCTAGATTGCAGAAAATGTACAAAAAACCCTCCAAAAACAGGAAAACAGTGCAAATGTTCACACATCAATAGTGGGACAGACTACATTTAAGTCCTACAGTAGGTCCTCACAGCCTCTCACTCATCCTTCTCCCCTGAGTGGAGCCAAGAGAGAGGTCATCACCCTCTCTTCAAACAGGAAGCCCCATCAAAAGTGGATCATGTTTCTGCACAAGCCAGTGAAGAAGAGAGCAGCCAAGAGGATGGCGACCTGTCTCTGATCGTCACTGATGGCTGGTGAAGCAAAAGACAGTCACAACTCCTGCTGGTGCATGTATGACACTTGTTTTGATGCAGATATGGAAACCTTGAAGGAGATTAGCCAAAGCGAGGTGAATTTCTCATCATTAGTACTAAGCCTCCTGACCTTTGACCCAACTCTTGAGAGCAAGACACTACCAATCACTGCATTCACCACCTTAGTATCAGGTGAGGGCCAGGCTGCTTTACTCCAAGTCACACAGTGGATGTAAACCAAATGGTGATTCAGTGTTACCTTCTCAGTATCAGAGAATGTTCACTTTGTGGATAAAAGAGATTTGTGTTAGTGTTATAATTAGGACCAGTTGTGTTCTTCAGGCTGGTTTATAATAGCCACGCATAAATATTTATCCCTGTTGGCTGGAGAGGAAAAAAATGGTGGAAGTCATAGGTGGAGCTCACCAAACTTCCAGAATTCAGCGCTCACCCGCCCTGCGATGCTAATACGCCTGAGGACTACTGTGCCAGACTGTGTTTCAGCAGGGATCAAATACCAGCACCCTTATCCTGCATTTATTGTCTTCAGGTCTTCCATTTTTCCTAATAAATGAGTGACAGCTTGAGGTGGGTCTGGGTACTTTAACAGACTCTTTGTGCTTTTCCCTCAGGTCAGAGAGGAGAGGGCTTTAACAGCAATGTGGAGCATATCTAATTGCTTTCATATGCTGTATTAATGCTTGATTTAAATAACCACAGACACCGGGGGCACCATCGCCTTTAACCTCAGCATGGTCAAGACTAACTGGCTGCCTGGCTGCAGCGCCTCGGCAGCAAGGACACAGCAAACATAAAAACATCAAAAGTGTGTTTATTTATTCGCCAATTGTTGCTGTGATATTGCCTCACCGAAGAGGAATGTAGCTGTGTTTTTGGAGCTTACTCCTACTTTAAAAATGCTCTGGACACAAGGATAATTGGAGATGTACCTCCATCTGTGTCCAAACAGAAGAAGCTGTGGTGTTATGAAGACATAGTCAGATACAGTGTCCGGAAACTGAGAAGTTGCCACAGGCGTTTTATGAGGTCCTGAATATACACACAACACTCTCTGAGCAGGAGATGGAAAAGTCCATACGAAATACTTTTATATTTAAACTGCTTTGACGAAAGATGGTAATGTTCACAATTACACAGACTGATCACCAATGACACAAAAATGACCTAAACTTCTAAATTTGACGCTGTCACAAGGATGGACATGAACATGCTGCTGCATCCAGTGATGCTCTCGAATCACACGCCTACATTTTGCAGCCTGTTGATACCACTTGGGGACAGTCTCAGGAAAATTTAAAGGGTTATGTGTTCTTGGTCAAGTAGTTCTAATATGCATTGGAAAAATCATGTTTGGACAAAAACCTGCTGTTAAATATGGTAGGTGTAGGACTGGATGGTAGTCTATCTGCACTGGTTGGACATCTTCAGTGTCTCACTTTGTGGAAGGTGAGATCAATGTAGATGGATCTCTTTGTGCACTCATGTACCAGACCTAAGGATTATAGTTGCAGTGAAAATAAAGGTTTAGACAAATCTTACCAGTTAGATCTTTCTTTAGTTTTCTGATGTCTTTGGCTAGGTCATCGAACCTGACCTGTGAAGCCTGAAAGAAGTCTTGAGGCTCAGGCAAAGGGAACACGCTCTTTTCTGTGCCGGCATGCTATAAACACAGAACACAGGAGTACACAAGTTTGAAAGAGCTGTTTAAATAGAGGGGAAACCTTGATACCTTGATGTAAAGTGTACAATTTAACTTACTTTGTCAAAGTTGCGCAGGTAGTATAAAACAACATAATCCACTAGATTGATGCGATTGTCCTGATACAAAATTGAATAAAAAAGAGGTATTGCACTAACAATCATTAGAATATCAAGGCAACACTAGAAGCTTTAAGGCGGTAGATACCTTGCTTTTGACATCTTTAAGTTTAGGGAGGATCTCCAACCCAAAACCATCAGCCTGACCTCTTGTCCGGTTCCCTCCATTCATATAGTTTCCAAAGGCCAGAACAAGACCCATTACATCCTGCATGCTATTACAGTCAAGCAGTTCCTGATAAACACACAAATGTTCAGGTTAGTAACCCTTCGGATGGCTTGACAATACATTTACGCCAGCGTTTGTTGTTCTTACTTTGCAGACACCGGAGATGAGCACCACCTTGCGATGTATGGAGGAGATAGTGTCGAGGAACACTGACTGGAAAATGATGCAGTGGGCTCGGCCTGCAAAGTCAGGAATCTGGGAGAGCTCGTAGAGAAACCTGGAAGGCAAAAATCGGGGGAAGGAGGTGAGAAGCAAGGGGTGGGGAGGGTGTGTGGAGGAGGAGGAATGGGGTGTGATGTGTTATGACAGAATTAAACAAAACGTCTAACAGGAAGGACTATTCTGGGGCCTTGGCAGGCCAAGCTTCCCCACACAGGCCGGCTGAGTCAATGTTGCTGTTCGCAGGCAGGCGGGCAGCTGATAGTCATGAGTGGTGCTGTTCGGTCGGGTTTGAAAGGTCCAAGGGGTCGGGTGGAGGGAAAGCAGCGAGCGGTGCACAGAGACTGATCAAAGGTAGCTCTGGCCTGATGCGGGACGACTTATGTAAACAGTGCCGTGTCGGAGGGGAGCGGAGCGGTTACATCCTGTGTGATTAGGGCCTGCTGATGGAGGTGGACACTGAGTAAGGATGACTCAGGCAGCTATAGTGACAGCTCTGGTCAAACATGGAAATAGAAAGGCTAGGCTGAGAGGCACCACTGGATCCAAGCTTCATTAACTGGCCTGGATTAACTAACCCCGACTGGAACTACTGGAGCACCATCTATTAACAAATCCCTTTTTTTTGTCCTCATAAAAATAGGATTTTTTTTCCCAATATAATAAGAGTTAACCTACAATCATACTTCTTTTAACTTGTGATGATGTCACCCATGCAAACAAGATTTAATTAAGGTAAAATACCCTTTGCATGTTGGGAAAATGTTGGAATAATTATAAAGACAATCTTACTGTTCAGGTTTGTCCAACAGTTTCACTTCATCTTCTTTGGAAGTCTCGTAATGTTTCGTTATCTTCTCCATTTCATCACTGGTGGCCCTCTGTGAGGATGCACAACTTACTGTCCATAACTGAGATCTACATCAACACAACTATAAAATCCTGTTAATACAACAACAACAATAAAGTTATTTCTCACTGCTTTATTACACGAAACATACAGGCACTTACATTTTCGTACAAAGCTTCAATAGTCTCCAGATCCACCACAGAGTTGTCCACATTCAGAACAGCTGGTAAAGATAACAGTGAAGACATTCATTGTAAGCTGTCACTCTTATAAATGGGAGAAGTCTTGGCCCAAACACGCTGCCTTTCAAGTACCGACAGTGAAGAACAAGCTCCACTAGAGAAATAAACTGATGATAGCTCTGCAATATCGTTAAAAGTTAGATAAAACATCATTATATTTGATGTAAACAGTTTGCAAGATGTCCCGTGTGTCAGGAAAAAAACTAGAAAACGTGACATAACCATGAAAAAAAAGTAGATTTGACTGAAACCAGAGTGCTACTTGTATGCTACAACACATCTACTCCTAAATGTAAAGAATCTTAAAGCTATGTGGGGAAGTTGTACCTTTAAGGGATGCAGATATTTCAGGTAGTAAAACCAACTCTAACAGACATTTCCTCATCTCTTGACCAGGACAAGCAAATCAATCAAATCAGGGAGGTGGTGCCCTTTGTCAAAGAGGAAAGCTTAAAAACAGCTTGACCTCTGAACGGACAGGCAGAACCACCACAGCTGTAACGCCCAACTAATCATTTTATATTGATGAAGAAGATCAAATGAAAAACAAATAGATGGTGCAGAATGTAGGCTTAGCCAAAAGGCTGCATGTATTCACACAAAGTAAAAAATAAAGAGAAAGTAATTTCCATTCAGTGTCTCAGACGTGTCCTTGGTTTGTGGCTTGTGATGCAGGACAATTTTGAAGGAATGACTCCACTGTCTCCAGATCAGCTAACAATTGTTTGGCTGGACTCTGCCAAGAAGGGCTTTGCAACACAATCTGCTTTTCTGTTAGTCACTTAGTGCGACAAAAAAACAACAACTTTAAGATATATCAAACAGAAGGGATTTAATGAAACATGGGGAAAATGAAGCAAAAAGACAATTGTAGATGCATTAGCTGGTAACATAGAAGTTCATGCTCAATAATCCAGGTAAATAAATCCAACAATGCTCAGTCAGGTCATCTGGACAGTTCCTTTTTTTTGTTGAGGGACGTTTCACCCTCCATCCGAAGGGCTTCATCAATCTAAGAAGTCACATACAAACTGTTTTCACCACCAAGCAGTACACTCCTATAGTGGACCAACCAGTTTGCTGGTGATAAGATGGTTTCTGGGGGCTGTCCTGTCCTGTTGACTCCTCTCAGGCAACCACAGCCAAAATGGTTCAAGACATCAAAGTTCATGCTCAATAATCCAGGTAAAGAAATCCAACAGCGTTCAGTCAGGTCATCTGGACAGTTCCTTTTTTTAGTTGAAGGACGTTTCACCCTCCATCCAAATGGCTTCATCACTCCGAGAAGTCACATAGCAATCTAAACTCTAAACTGAGAGGGGATAAAAGCCACGATAAAATGGCCAGTGTTTTGTCAACTTGTGGCCCCTGGGCCATAACTTGTCCAAGAGCTTCTGGCCTGCAATGTGTTAAATTATTAATTAATTATACATAATCCGAGACACTTGATACTTCAAGTATCTCGGGGTTTTGTTGACGAGTGAGGGAAGAATGGAGTGTGGGATTGACAGACAGACTGGTGCAGCGTCTGCTGTATTGCGGACTATGTGCTGGTCCGTTGTGGTGAAGAGGGAGCTGAGCTATAAGGCAAAGCTCTCTGTTTACCGATCGGTCTATGTTTCTACCCTCATCAATGGCCACAAACTCTTGGTAGTGACCAAAATGTCTGAGCCTCCCTGCTCAAGCTGCTGCCCCCGCGACCCAACTTCAGAACAAGCAGAAGATAATGGATGGATGCATATAAATAATCTGGTAGAGAGATCAGTTATGGTCCAGTTCAGAAAAGTCATGGGATGGCAACTCGTTTTAATCAGATCCAGCTGAAAGGCTGAGACGCAGCAGAATACTTGCAGGCAGTGTGGCTAGTTAGCATAGTAGGATGCAAATAGCACCAAAATGTCCATAACCTGAGTTTATGTCTCACAGAAAACACGCTGTATTAAGTCGTGTGATCTCATCTTAATTCAACTGAAAGGACGAATACAATTATTTAACTGTTGCATCAACTGCTCCATAACGTAGCTGCACTTACGTAAAAGTAAAACATATATAACATACTTTTTTTGGTGCATTTCCATTTTATTCATTTATGTTAAACTCAAATTTCTCATGTTGTTTAAAACTAAAGTTATAATTATTTAATAGAATTAAAAAAAATTGAGAGTTATGATCTATGGACAATAATTAGCATATTACAAAACAAAACCCTAAAGAACTACAACAATTTTCAGTCAGGTCATCTGGACAGTTTCTTTTTTTGCTGAAACGTTTCACCTTCCATCCGGAAGGCTTCATCAGTCAAGGAAACACACAACACAGAACTGATCCTTCCCTCAAACAGCTTACTCCAAAGTGGAACAAACCAGTTATGTTGGTGCTAAGATGGTGTCTTTGGCACGCCCCCTCCTCTGTTGCCAGCCCTCTTCCTCGTCGACAGTCATGTCAAACTGTTTCAAAACCAAAAAAGTCCATGCGCAATAATCCAGGTATACAATCCAACAATTTTCAGTCAGAAAACTGTTGGATTATATACCTGGATTATTGAGCATGGACTTTTTTGGTTAAAGAACTACAGGGAAACAAACAATGAGGAAAAAAATTATGAGCTTTGTAAAGGCCATTTGACTTATCACTGTTGTTTGGCAATAAAATCAAACCCACCAAGAAATAAACCTGAGTTCTAAACTTAAACTTTTTTTTTTCCCTTCTTTCGGCTGCCCCCTTCCTCAGGGGTCGCGAACAAACTCGCACAAAGACTTGGCGATTGTTTTTAATGCTGGATGCCCTTCCTGATGCAACCACAGCCCTTTGTGTGGAGCAGAGAGCTGCTTTCTAGGACACCCGGGGAGCAGATGGGGGGGGGGGGGGGGGGGTTAAGGGCCTTGCTCAAGGGCCCAGAGTGGAGCGAGGGTGGAGGCAGATGTGGGTGCTTCAACTTTCCCACCTTTGTCGGTTCGGGGAGTTGACCCGACGACCTTCCAATCACAGGCCCACCTCCTCTAACCTCTGCACCACCACTCTCCCATAAACTTAAACTAGAAGATAATTAATCTTTTATAATAATTAATAATCTTATTTATTTAAATATGCTATTGATTTATCTTTTTTCAAGCAAAGAGAACATAACCTCCATGAAAACCTTCTTGGTATCAACAAAATGGCCCAAATTAGTTCAACACGTTAGCCCCACTGCCTTGTGTCTTTAAACACTAACAAGCCAACTCGTTGCACTCTGGCTCGCAGCTGCTCTGTAGCAGAGGAGCTGTCAATGTGCTCTCAGAGTCTGGATCAGAGAAAACGCTGGAGGTCCATTTCCTACATCTTATTAGAGTGGATTATTCAGTCCCTCAGCCATGCAGCCGTCAATCACACACCAAAGGGGGGCCTGCTCCAGTGTGCACAGGAGCGCTCTGATCCGAGGGGAGCCGGATATCTCTCCACACCGACAGATCAAAGCCGGCCTGCCAACGGCCTCACACCCTCTCCTTCCACTTTTCACTCCTGTGCGTGTATGTTGTGTGTGAGGTGGTGTGTGCGTCTCGTTGCCCTTGAATCATGGTGGCCCTTGAGGTCCCCCAGTCATTTTGACCGGTGCCTTTGACCCCCTCTTTCTCTCTCTCTCTTAACCAGAATGCTCCCCTCCGTCTCTGTTCCTCCCTCCCTTGTAGTTGTAATTGCATTACATGTGCCATGTCCTTTTAATTTGGCAACAAAGGGGAGGCCAAGCAGGCGAGACCGGACTTTAGAAATGCTTTTTTAAAGGTGCCTCAATTGTCAAATTTAAATTGTCCATTTCACATTCACCTCCCATTAAGGCATGAGGAAACAGCCTCATGCTGGGTGGGAATGAGCCCTTTCTACAAAATGACACTGGAGCAGAGCTAAAGGCATCGAGGGCAAAGGAAAAATAAAAAAATCTAAACAAGATGGTCACAGTACTGTTTGCTTTGTGTTTGAGGCAGTTTTATGTGGTAGCCCAGTGTCTGCTAACTGTAGAAGGTGGTTTTGTTCATGCTTAGATCATTAGTGGGGTGTCAGTCCCATTAGGCTTGTGGAAACCGTCACTGGCTACAATAAACAGATCTGCTGGCCGCATGCTCAGACTAGCAGGCGGCAGGCTTTCTCCGCCACAGTCCCAGGACAGGACTAATTCCTGGCCCATCTACGATGTCCCCAACACACATACTTTGTGTTTACACACGCACATACACACAAAGATATTGCATTTTCCACATAACTACCTAGCATGCAATCAATTTGTGTAGCTATTTAAATGAACGAGATGGCAATTTGATTTTAAGCAGTGCAGAAGCCCTGACAGACCAAAAAAAAAAAAAGTTCTGCTTTCGTCTCGCTCCGGCTATTTCTAATTTTGACAAATAGAGACTTTTTTCTTTCCCACTGTGGTAACTGGAAAACTCATCCCAGTTCCACTTAAGTCACAAATTAATCCAAAAGAAGTGTCTTAAGTTACAAATTAGCTGCTGTCAAGAAGCAGGAATTTATCCTCCGCTGCAGGGTTCACTATCTCATCTCTAAAAATAACTCCATCTGCATTTCATCAGGAGTCAACCTCAGTTTACTGTTTAATGGGAAAGTAAATTTAGGTTGTTGCTGCGGAGTCTAAATCCCAGAACTTCTCTAGTGAATGACATGAATGCAACGATTTCACCAACTTCTAGAGATGTTGGAGCTACTGAGAGGATATTTACCTTGCTGAATGTCCTTCATTTCCAGGTGCAGGCTGGATATGAGGATGCCGACTGCCTGTGAACGCTTCCCGTCCAGCAGCTTTATAATCTGAAAAATAAAAGGAGGACATAATTCATGTTGCAGTGATTCAGGGTAAAAGCTAAAATTTTTTAAAAAAAGTTAAAAGTGGGGACAGCAGCGTAACTTGTGATGAAGAGGAAATGAAACCAAGAACCAAGGATAAATGACGAAGCTGATGCCTGTAATCCCAGATAGTCTGAGACTCACATCCTCTGGATTTCCTCCAGTGGTTAAATTCACCAATAACCCATTAAAATAATGCAAATATCTGGAAAAGATGGAGCAACTTTGTACCCCCCCCCCCCCCCCCCACCCCCAAAAAAAAAAAAAAAGGAACACGTTGACCCCTCAGCTTTCCCAAGCAACATACGTCTGGATTGTCCCACAAATATCGAGTCGCAGTGAAAGTACAAAGAGCAAAGTGGCACCATAAAAGGACAGTGTGGAAGAGAAAGGCAAAGAGAAGCAAAGCTTTTATAACAAACTATAAATTCACAGGATTTTTATTTGTGCTTACACATGGTCACAATTACTTATGAGTGAATTAGCTGTAAAGCCAGAGAAAGTTTTGGCAAGGTAAAGCCCTGCTCTAAAAGTTAATGTGTCAGGCTTCTTCATTAGGTATTATGGCGTTGTTGGCTACTGGGGCTGTCCAGTTGGAGCCAGAGAGCAGAAGCCTTAGAAGTAGGTATTGCATTACAGGGCGTTAGTGGGTGCCATGCTGCTTCCAGCTCTATTACCTGGATCACTAGAGATCTCCCACACTCGGGACCTGAGAAATGCCTGAGTACCAGGCTTTCCCAACACCTCTAATTACTACCTTTGGGCGGGCCACACACTCCCCCCTAAAAAAGAGAAATATCAGCCTTGAACTTGCTCCCACTCACTCAGGCAACATCACTTGCCAATTAGCCAAACCAGTTAGGCTAATGAGAAAGGACAAGTGATGCTGGATGCTTGCTTTCTGACATGCAAGCAGCTGGGGCGATGCTGATGCTGACACCTGCAGACACTAAGAGCTAAGGGCGCCCTCCTGTGGACAGAAAGGCATGAAGGATGGAACCTGGGAGTTAAATAGATAAATACATAAATAAAAGGGATGGCTTTGAAGGATATCGTCCACCACCTTTCATGCCAGAGTTTTAGACAAAGATCATCTCATTTTGACAATTGATGGAGTTCTATCTGTTTTAGTCAAACCTTCAAATCGACATTATGCACTCGGCTATTGCTGCTGTAGATTATAGCTTAATATCTGTTCAGTTGGCTGAGTTATGACCATTGTTGTGTTATTTAATGCCAATCAGCTGAGGGGGACATATGAAGCTGACTCCAAATGTAAATCAGTTGAACGTATCAACATAAAGATTACTTTCTGCAGTGATGCATGGCATATTGCTAGCAGGACAGACGAACACATGCACACACAGTCACGGGCAAATGCATGATCGCTCTGCCTTTGTCTCGATAAAGCATGAAAAAAATGAGCGAGCTAAGAAAATAAACGATTGAAGAAGACGGGGAGTGTTGGGGTTTTGAGCTGAAGCAGGTGGCTGATATCAGGGGATGCAGATAGTTTACACTCTTTCTGTTTGTCTAGAATCACCCAGGCATAAGTAACAATAATACAAGATCGAGACTTCTCATCAATCCTGCACTTTCACCTGGCGCCGATACTTTCACGCACCTACGTCAGACCCCGGAGTTCAAATATGTCTTTAATAAACGCGCAATGATTGCTAATAAATTAAAATCTGGCTAAGGAAACAGTTTGTTTAAAGAGCTCAGCACCAGCTGTGCAGGAAACTACGATTGCTGACGCATGTATCTGCACCCAGACAAACTCAACAGCATGTTTGGCTAAAAGAATTTCTTCGTTCTTATCTCTTTTCCATCCTCATCCCTCAAGAATGCACCTACTGTACAGGCCAATTCCCGCACCCTCGCTCTTCTATAGATGCTCCATTTTTGGTTTCTTACACCGGTGAAGCCACATGCAGGCAATTATACCATAGGTCCAGACCAGTCCAGTCCAGTTCGGTGCGGCCTGCTCTGGTGGGAGAACTCTCCTCTATGTCATCTCCTTAGCTTTGATATGCTAATCAGCAGAGAGCAAAGAGCTACAGAAAAACAAAAGCTTTGATTTTTATTTTTTTTTACTTTTTATGGCACACATGATAAAGATTAACTCTCGCACGTAGGCATCCGTTAGAAATCTTTTGGCACGTGCACTTGGTGGGAATCAGGAAAGTGGCTCATATGCATAATGCACACACACATTCCAATCCCACACACTCATCTCCCCTCGCCGTTCGGAGCCCCAGGCGGTGGCGTTAGCATGATCTGGCAACACTTTCTGATCAAATGCATAATGGTTTGTCATCACACACACACACACACACGCATGGAAGGCGTGCACTGAAACATACACGTGCTGGTGAAAGTGCAAACAAAAAACAGACTAGAGGGGGTGCAAGGGGGTTCTGAAGCTCGTCATGCAGATACAAATAAAAATCCAGGACTGGTGTTGGGAATTACACAGAGGGGGCGCAGATCACAGTCGGATCGGACTCTGCAGCATAAAATTTAAAGAAACAAAGAGCGCAGGTCGAAAAGCACAACAAAGAAAACAGAAAGTAGTTAGAACTGGAAAATAAGAAATTTAAAGCAGCTTGCAGAGAAAAGAAATGCTCTAAAACAAGAAAGGATAGTAAACAAAAAATGGTGCCTCGGTATACTCTGTAACAAACTTTTCACACGAAGCAAAATTAGAAATCTTTTATTATTTCCAGACTAAAACGTGGAGACCAGAGCTTAAACTATTAACCAATCAAATTGACATTCATTCAACAACTACTTCTTTTAATCATAATACTAATTTTTTTACAGGTCTCTTGTAAATGAGTCCTCGAGGCTCAATGAGACTAACCTGTATACATAAAGGTTGAATTGAATTTAAGGGGAAAAAAAGTAGAAAAATACCATATCATAATATAAATGTGGATTTTATTTAAGATTGTTAGGGACTGAATAACTTTAAATACTCATAATTAGGCCTCTCAAAGCAATTTACTATACAAGTGATGCTTGTGAATATAAATTATGCATGATTATTTATTAATTTAATGGTGATAATTTAAATAAATGTGAAGCTTTGCAAAATGTGAGTAAGAATAAACTGCAAGATCAGTGTTTAGTCATGTGAGGATTGTTGTGAATGATTATTAAGCATGCACAATAATAAAATCCTGTTCGAGTGTATATTTTTCAGAACCACTCTAAGCTAGCCTTTTCTTGCTATGTTAGCGCAATTCATTGAACTATGTTTTTGTCACATTTTCATCTGTTCATATTAAACAAGTAGTGACGGCTCAGCTTCTCCAGCATCTGTCGGCAAAATCATTCAGCAGTAAACATTCACACTGCATTTTTGCAGGAAATGCTCATTTTACTACCGGTAGTTTCTTCGTATCTTACCTTTTTAAAGACACTGATTCAAAAACTGCCATTTTATCTATTTTTGTTTCTACTTTTACATTATTGTTTACATTTTACAAAATATCCCAGCTATTTTTTGAAAGAACGTTTGTGATAATGATGCTAGCTGTAGCAGCACGACCAAAATGTAGTTTATTCCACGTTAAACCTCCGGTAAAGTCAAACATTTTATTCCACAGTGTAGTTGCTGATAGATAGTCCTCCATTTATGCTCTCTTCCTTGAAAAGCTTGCCTTTAAAAGTGAGTCATCTCCAACTCTAACAGCATCCTTTCAGTCTCATCCGTCATCACGACTCTTCCTGTCCTGAGCTGAACTTCTTGGAAGTTATCCTCAGCGTGTGATTCAGATGATTTCTCTCTCAAATCATTTCTCACTCTTTTTCCCAGAACATAAACTATCAGGGAGTAAAAAATAAAACAAGTAAACAAGTTTCTGCTTCTTTCCATGAACGTGAGCCTCTTTTCTTCCCTAATCGCAGACTTGGACTCCAAACGCGGACACTGAAGTTCAAATACTGCACAGCAGGTTCGGGGAACAAAATATTTAAACAAAGATAACAAATTTCTTCAGGGTGCCATACAACAAATACTAAACTGGACACTTGGTTTACTTTTATTTGATATGAACTGATTTCAACAGAGTTTCCATGTAAGTGGTCAAGTCTCCCCCAACAAGCTGATGTAAGCCAAGACAGGAGACAGTTGTCTGAGCTGGATCAAATGTTGGACAGTTTGAGTGACCAGACTGCTTGGAGAGATGTAGGGATGGAGACCAAGGACACACACACACACCCACACAGAATGGCCCTCTGGAGCAGAGTGGAGCCTTTACAAATTGATCAGAACAGGGGATGTGTATGGATTTAACAGGCCGAGACTGGGGCAGTGGCTGCTTTTTAACTGCTCGGACGCCACACAGAGGACCTGACAGAGCTGGCTGCAGGAGTAGTGCAGAGTTGCATCATTGGACGGGGCACCAGCAAGTGAGCAGGTAGATCAATCCGGCAGAAATTTATCTAGCTACGCTATTTTTTTCTTGACTTTTACAAGGCAAGTTTTGCACACGTCTCTATAACAGTACTGCATAGCAAAGGAAGAGAAAACACACACACAAAGAAGTGAACTCGGTTGGCCCAGTACCTTCTTAGTTTTGGCTTTCTTTTCATACGTGTCTGACAGGGGCTTCTTCTTCTGCTGCAGAGCGGCCTTCGAAAAGAGATCCTCGAACTCGTTAGCACTGACGATATCAGGCTCCTTCAGAGAACCCCACAGTGTGTTGTTGCTAGAAGAACAAACAAACAGATGCATCAAAACTCCAGATACATGGTGCAAAACATGACATCACACTTGCTCAGACAGCAGGCATGCAGCAAGGGCGTCATAAATCCAGCGTTGTGGAAGTTTATTTGATGTTTATTCAACCTGTTTTCCATTTTCCATTTCGCAGTCCGGACAAAAACTTGGCTGGATTTCCCCCCCCTCAATCTCGACTTTCGGGGAAAATAAAAGCCATGTTTACGAGCTAGGTGATAAAAATAACAAAAGTTTCAGACAACCTTTTTGTGTCTGTGTGATGGGATCATTTCTCGTCAGGACAAAAAGAGAGGGAGGGAGATGCTGCGCTGCAGAAGTTGCTGAGTAACGTGGAAATAAAACAAACAGAGTTTGGAAAAAAAAAACGTGGATGAAGTCAGGAGGATGTTCGGCGCTTTGATGGTACAAACACGTCTTCTTCCACACGTCCAGCTGTGCTTTCGCTTCCAAAATCTGTTCATCAAATGGACATTAAGAGTCTAATCAAGAGCGTTTGGAATCAAATGAATCTATTCAAAACAAAGACTTTGGAATGATGACACCGTCATTACCGTTTTTAACACACTGCAGATCATTACAGCTCATTTTTTGAGGACCATCAACCAGGACAGAAAGACTAGGCAGCCAAGAGGTTTTCCCTTGAGATAATCATGATAATCTCATCGTTTTGACAAAACCTTGTTTTGATTTTGTTCGTGTAAACGCCCAAAATATAGAGCAGGGAACTATTCTGGAAAAGAAAACTGCATCTGACTCTCCCACAAGATTTACATGCAGGACACCGTTCCAAGTGACAAATTAAGCCTACTGGTAACTAGAGAAATTGCATTTCCTGCAAAAATGCAGTGTGAATGCTTATTGCAGAAGAACTTGCTGAAAAACAGCTGAAATTAACTAAAAAAAACATTTTGAGATGTAGCTGAAATAGAAGAACAATCAAATTTTCTGAATTAGATTTAAATAAGAAGCAGAAATGAGCACAAAAATTAGGAAATTAACAAAAAAAAACAAACAAACTAAAAAGTAGCTGAAAAGGCAGAAAGAAGTTTAAACTATACCAGAAGGAAGCGGAAAGAACTGAAATGAGCTCAAAATATGTTGAATAAGCTGAAAACCTAAAACTAGCATCAAAAGAGCTAAATAGTAGCCAAAACTGTGAGAAAAAAAGCTGAAAGAAGTGGACATTATCTGAAAAAAGCTGAAATTAGCAAAAAGCAGCCGAAATTTAGCTAAAAAATAAGCAGAAAGAAGCTTAAATTACCAGAAGGAAGTAGAGAGCACATTTTTGCCGAATTAGGCTGAAAAAGGTTGAAATTAGTGCAAGAAAATTTGGAATAGGCCAAAAAAGCTAAATTAGTATAAAACAGCTAAATAGTAGCTAAAATAGCAGAAAAAGCTGAAACTAGCAGAAATAAGCTGAAAGGAGCATAACAAGTTGAAATTAGCAGAAATAAGTTAGAAAAAGCACAAAAATGTTATAGTTAACAGAAAGAACCTAAAAGGAGCACAAAATAGCTGGAAAAAACACACAAAAAAAACAGATGAAATTAGCTGAAAAAAGTTTCAATTTGCACAAGGAAGCTGAAAGAAGCTGAACCAGAACAAAACATGAAAGGAGCATGAAAGGTTGTAAACAGATCTAAAGATTTGAAGGATATAAAATGAGCTCAGTTCATTTTCTACAGGGCAAAAAGTGGCAGAAAAGGGTAAAATGTTACAAAAAGCTAAAGTTGCACCAATACCAAAAGTCATAGCAAGATTGTCCTGAAAGAGATGAATGTTTTGCTATACGATTTGTTAAAATACCACAAAAATTACGGAATGAGAAAGATGCTGAAAAATGAATGGAAGAAAAATGGATCACAATAGTGGAAATGCTTCAAAAACATTCACACTAATAAAATCAAATCCAACAAACGTAGCTTCCAGAGATCGTTTAAACAGCTGTACTTTGGTTCACCATACAGTCAAACCTCACACTGCTCCCCTTCATCACACATTCACCAGAGATCACTACTGCTACAGTCAAACATCTGACCCATTTAACGCCCCTTAACTTGGATCTTTACAGCTAATTTATAGCTGACATGAAGCTGCTGTTGAGCAGTCAGACCGGTCCTGGATAGGACTTACTCTACTAATCTAACCACGGAAATACAAGGTCGTAAATCTTGAAGGATAGCATTTGGAGGCGACGACCACAGCCTCTGTAAATGGTCTGGATAATCTACTTACTGTTACAGATTGCCTCAACCAAAATATCAGCATTGGAAAAGTCTGACAAGACAAGAACATCAGGCACGTGATTGATGAGAGCGACCAGGGATTAGGGCAGAATATCAGAACCATTAGAATAATGACGTCAACGCTCAAACATGAGCAGAGAAATTCGGTTTTCTGACCTGAGCTTTGTTAAAAATTCAATTAAATTCAATTCTGTTTATTTATATAGCGCCAAGTCACAACAGAAGCCACCTCAGGGCACAGAACAGAAACGTTCCTACATTTAAAAGTAAGGTAATAACATTATTTATCTGAGGAGCAGACTGCTTTGAGTTCAACTTTATCACAGAACTCTCATCTTGAGCAAGCACGAAGGCGACAGTGGAAAGAGAAAACTCCCTCATGACGAAGAAACCTTTAGCAGAACAGGGCTCAGGACAAGCGGCCATCTTCTTCGACCGGCTGGGTTTGAGAGGAACAGGAAGAAGGAACAGATACACAATGGCAGGTTGAGAATCACATGTTAAGATAGAAATAGTATCAAACAAACTATTCAATTTTAACAATTCATTTAAGGAAATTAGGTCAATTTGTCCTCTAGTAGTCTAAGCCTATGGCAGCATAACAAGCTGCTAACTATACTAACTATACTACTAATCCTAACTATAGGATTTATCAAAAAGGAAAGTCTTAAGTCCAGTCTTAAAACCGGACAACGTGTCAGCCTCACGGACAGAAACTGGACGTTTGTTCCACAAGAGAGGAGCCTGATAACTGAAAGGTCTTCATCCCATTTTTCTCTTGGAAACTCTAGGAACCACAAGTAAACCTAAAGTCTGAGAGTAAAGTGCTCTGTTGGGAAAATATGGGACAATAAGACCTGTAATATAAAATGGAGCTAGGTTGTTGAGGGCTTTGTAGGTTAGAAGTAAGATTTTGAATTCAATTCTGAATTTGACAGAAGGTTAACCCGGAGAGATATGGTCTCTCCTACAAACCCCTAAAAACCCGTGTGACACTCGGTGAAATGTTTGGAAATGGGATCTGAACATACCTGTTGTCCTGTATCTGTATCCTGTTCCAGTACAGAGGCTTCATGGGACACGCGGGCTCCACCACAGGTTTCCTTGGGGCATTTTCCACTTTCAGGCCAAACCCGCCCATAGGTGGTGGAGGCGGGGGGCCACAGCCTGGAGGAGGGGGAGGTGGAGGTGGACCGCCTCCAGGTAGGCCAGGAGGAGGGGGTGGAGGTGGTGGGGGTGGTGGGCCACCTCCTGGCAGAGGAGGAGGAGGAGGAGGTGGTGGTGGCGCACCAGTGTGGCCTGGCAAAGGGGGAGGAGGGGGTGGCACAGGTATGCCTGTAAGGCCTGGAGGTGGAGGAGGAGGAGGAGGAGGAGGAGGGGGTGGTGGTATTCCAGAAGGGCCCAGGCCTGTCTCCGATTTAAAATTCTGCTCAATAGAGTCCAAGTTGAGTTTTTTAGGCAGGTTCTGGTTGGGGCTTTGAGCGAGGGCCGCTCCACCCCCCTCTGGGCTCTTAATAAACGTCTCCCTGTCGGTCTGGATCCCCACGGTGCGCCACGTCTTCAGGGTAACGTCATCCGCAGTGGACACGGCCACATCGCAGACCAGAGTGCAGTCCTGAGCCGCGCTGCGCGACTTGTTCCTTCGCAGCTCAGCAATGACCCCCTCCAACTGTGACACGGTGACGGCGTGCTCCCCTCGCACCTCGAACATTTTCAGCTGTAAGTCCGACTGTTGGGAGCAGAACAGCAGATGGAAAACAGTTAGAGCCGCATCTGCCAATCAGGTGCTTTACTTGGACTGAATCCAAATTATAATTGTTCTTAAAAGGCTTAAACGAGATTCACCATTTTTGAATAGCTTCTTAAACTAAAGATGTCAGTCTTACAATGAAGTTTTCACGTTTCCACCAATAAAAAGTATTTCAGCTAAAACACTGTATCGACTGAAACAAGAAAACTTGTTTTGCAACAAATTCTCCACATGTTCCTCATTAAATCCAGCCAGTTTAGAATAAGAATTAGGCACGTTCCCACCATTTGTTATGGGCCGACTCTGGCTGGGACGTGTTCCTCAGAGAAAGCACAAACCCTTTAAAGTGTTGACATTAAATCAAAGGCAGGCCAGCAGACGGGCTGAGAAACCAGTTTCCAGGTCAGCTTCACGGAGGCAGTGGCCCGTGAAGCAATTTATCAGCGGTACAAATTAAGAAACATGGCAGAACCTCATTCTTGTGTATTTCGTGATAAAGTTCTCGAGACAAGAAATGTTCATTAGAAAATCTGTGTATGTTTTTACTTGGACATAATGATATACATTTTGAAGTTTAAACAAAAGCTTCAGTTGTGAAAGAAAATAATCCTTCAGATGTTTTAGTGTCTGTATTATAATTAATATTACTATTATTGAATTGTGTTTATTAAAAGAACAACAGCAGCATCCACAAAGGTTCAGCACAGGGAAGGGAACTTCTTCCCAGATGATTCCATGCTGACTTGGTGCCATCTTGTGGCCACGTCTATCAGATGCTTCGTTGCTACATTCAGTAAAAATGTTTAGTTTTGTCTCAATCTGCCACAAACGAACCTCCTTTTTTAAATTGTCATTTGTATTAATTTCATTGATGGAGAGATCTCTGGCATAGGAGGCGTTTTGATTCCAAGCCTGCAGAAAGTCTGCAGCACGTCAACTTGTTTTCATTCATTCAACCTTTATTTAGACAGGTTAATCCCATTGAGCCTCGGAGACTCATTTACAAGAGAGACTTGAATTTTAACAGAGTGATGACAACAGTGGACAACAACGACAACAATAGACAATCATAAAAGATGTGTACATTTTATTTTTTTTAAAAAACAAGTATTAAAAAATGGCAACCAAAAGGAAACAAAAATAGCTAGATTATAAGGCGATGTAGAAAACTAAAAACAGGAACATGTCTGCATTGGTTTTTGCCAGGAACTTAACAGATGTTTAAAGCCACTTAGAGAGGTCAAGGATGAGAGCTTCAGATCTTTTTGAAAGATATTCCAGAAAACAGGTGTGGAGTAGAAGTCCCTTTTGCCAAGTTCAGTCCTCACTGAGGGGACACTGCAGGTAATAATGTCCTGAGAGCGCACGCTGTAGCTGCACTCACACAGTGACATGTAGGAGATGTACAAAGTATGAAGGCAGTAGACTGAGAAGTGATTTATAGATGAAAATGTACCAATGAGAGTCGGCATGAAGTTAATGATGACCACTTAACCAGTGAATACATGCTGCAGTGATGGGTACGATAATTACAGCCAGTTATGAATCTTAGTGCACCATGATAGAAAGTTAAGCACTTTGATAACAGTCTATCTGTTTTAAATTGTGCTCTATAAATAAATATGACTTGACTTGACTTGACTAGACAGCATGCAACATCTGCAGGGTGCTTGTAGGAGCGTTCATGTAAATAATGTCACCATAGTCGAAGGAGGGAAGGAAAGTCACAGTTACAAGGTGTTTCCTAACATTAAGAGTTAGACAGGATCTATTTCTGAAACAAATTTAACTTTCAGTTTGCTTACTAGGTTTTCTACGCGATACTTAAAAGAGAGATGCGAGACGAACAAGATACCCAAATATTTGTAGGAATCGACAAACTCAATAGGGACACCATTTGAAGATGAAATCAGAGGAAGAACTGCTGGGACCAACTTCCTGTTTGAAAAAGCATCCCTTTGGTTTTGTCGGTGTTTAGGACAAGTTTGAGATGGAACAAAACAGACTGGATGATGTAGAAAGCTGACTGAAAAAGCTGGAAAGCCTTAGCAACTGATTTAGCTCAACAATAAACAACTGTGTCATCAGCATAGAAATGTAAGGATGCATCAGGGACATTACCTATGTAGATTGTAAAGAGGATGGTTCCCAAGACTGAGCCTTGTGGTACACCATTGTTGACTGTTAAATAACTGGAGGAAATAACATTATGTTCAACTTACATGCATCTTCTCCAGATCTTCCTTGTGCTCTCTTTTGAGCTGTAAAATGGCAGCCTGGTGCTCTGAAATCAACCAGAACAACAATATTAATAAAAAAATAAAAAAATAAATAAATAAACGAATAAAACAATTTATCATGGCACAAGCAATGACAAGTCAGTGCAGTGTGCATTTGGTTCAATTATTACAGCTAATTGCAGTTTGTCCTTTTTGTTTATTACAGAAAGATAAGAAGTCTTTGTTGCGTTAATTTGAGTTGTTCTTGAATAAATATTGAGATTCTTTGCTTGACAAGAAACCTCCAATCAGATAAAATACTACAGAAGGGTGGGTCGCTTTCACTAGCAAGGGACGTACAACTCACTCAACCAGTTTCAAATTACAACGCCAGCCAAATAGAGCAGTTTGAAAAGTTAAAACTCAAAACTCCTAATCTCTTGGTGCAATTAAAGTGAAGTAAACATCAACAATGATGTTCAAACATTTGGAAACCTATTCAACTAATAAATTCTGACTGTACCAGTGTATAAAGTACCTATAAAATAGAAAAAATATTAAAAACTAACATTTAATACCATGTTTAGAAGGGCATTTCTTCATGTTTATCTTCTCAAAACCAAAGTTAACACTTAATAATAAAATGTTGCAACAAATATACATTTATGAAATTATTATTTTTTAACTAAAGTTTGTTGTGGCTTGATGTTATATTTTGTGTCTGTCCCTTCATGGCTTTGGAAACACTTGTTGCAAATATATTTTCATCTGTTACTTAAAAAAAATATATATTTTTTTGCACAAGTGCTTCAAATTTGAGAAAGTAGATTTTTTTTAATGCGTTTGTTTGTTGGTCTAAGAGGCTGCAGCATGCTGACAAGGTAAGATAAGATAAAATATACTTTATCATCCCGAAGGGAAACTGTTGCAGTACAAAACATGAATCTGGTTTTTCTAGATCTCCAACTCTCAGATTTGGTTTTCCTTTACAATTGGTGTTTTGTATTATTCAGAATTCCCACTAACACATAACCTAATCTACTTCATGTGATCCTGTTTTTTAATTGATGCACAAATCTAAAGTATAGCTGTTTCAGATGGTGAGTAGAGATTAGTATTCAGTTAATAAACTGCTCATAGATTAAACTGCACAGTAATGCACAATTAAAAGCGAATGATATAGGAATGAATACACGATGAACGTGGAATTTTTTTTTATTTTTACCTGCTAAGGTACACAGCATGGACTCTGTTCTTCTCAGTTTCATTTTATTTGACAAGAGCAAAGCCAGACCTGGAGCAGATAACTGGACTAATGCACATTAGCTTATCCTAATCTATTCTGCAGATTAATCTGCACCACAAGGTACGATAAACAACTGTTGTGTCATTGCTGTTTGTGCACCACATAGAGCCTGAAAGCAAAGCTCTTTACTTTGTAAATGACTCTATCCAGTGTGTTTTTAACCCATTTGTGTCATTACACCAACAGAGTACAAGTCAGCCTAAAGAAACAGATACTTTTATTTCACCAACACCCACACGTTGTTGCACCATGAAGCAGCAGCAACACAAATGTCACCAACAAGGCACAGACTCCTGGTAAATCTAAGCTAGATGTGTACGATTCGCCCCGCAGATTTGAAAAATGATTGATTGGAGATTACATAACAGTGGCTCTACTTTTAATTCAGAGTGCTGATGTCAATTCTGAACTCGTTACAAAAACCCGAGCGTGACACTCCCTCAAATGATTTAATTGTAGCTGCAATCCGCAAAGCCAGTCTGTGTGAGGTGTGTCCATGAAAGCTTAACAGGCACGATCCTCTTGTTGGTACTTCCAGTCTTGAATGCGAACAAAGACAATACAACAGTGTTAAAACTTACGAGCTTAAATTCCTTACCTGCCTCGGTGTACTTGAGCCCCACCTTCTCCTCTTCATCCTTAGATTTGGGTGGGGGCCACACAGCTTGCAGACGCCCGGGAGTCCGGTCCTCACTATCTGCAGGGGATATCTCTGTCTATAGAGAGAAAACACATTAACAAATACTGATGATGTCACACAGTTCAATTCAAGGCACCAGAACTATATACAGTCTCCAAGAACTATGGTGTGACTACATACAACAGGGTCTGTAGAATTGGTGAGGTCTTTGTTAGGCGATTTGGAGGTTCTCTCAAAAATCAACCTCAGACTTTCCTTCTCACTTTTGAATTTTCTTTTCACTGCCTCCAGGTCCACTTCCTCCGTCTTCTCTTTTTTGATGGTCTTAGGACCAAAAATGGTCTTGAAGGTTTCATAAGCCATGTCTGTAGTTGTCTTTTTCTCCGGTGTGGATGTTTCCGATAATGATCGTTTTTTCTCTGAAATCTCGCCTCCATTCTCAGACTCTTTTTGGCCATGTGCAATGTCACCTTCCTGTTCATCACTTGACTTTTTGGCATCATCATGGTTGCCTAGGCTGAGCCGTTGGTTGAGCTGTCCCACTGAAGGGCTAGATTTGAGCTCAGATGGTTTTCTGACTGGAGGGGTTGTCTTCTGCTCAGGAAAAAGCTTGGCTTTGTTGACGGTCCTCTTGAGGTTAAGCAACGCCAGGTCAGCATCCTTCTCCCTCTGCTTGATCTCTCTGCTTTCCTCCACTGCTCCCTTTTTCATTACCCGCAAACCACTAAAGAGAGCGGGCATCTGGAAGGAAGGCGGTGAAGAAAGCTGTGCACCCTTAGATGGGGATGTGTTGGAGGAAGCCGTGGAGGTAGGAGCAGAAGAAGCTGGTGGTGCTGAACTCATTTCTGGCATCTTTGGACTTGCCGTGTGCTTTGCAGCAGAGCTAATACATGTTTGGCTGTTTTTAGGGGATCCTTCACATCCAGCTGACAGAGATGTGGATATCCCAGATCCGGAAAGCTTTAAACCAGTAGCTTGTTGCTTTGGATTAGATGCTGACTGACTTGAGACCTTGGGAATTTTGGGGCTGGAAGAAACAGAAGAGGAGATCTGGATGGAGTGAGGTTCCTCAGACCTTTCCTCAGCGCCTTCTTCATGCTTCTCTTTGATTTGTTTTGGCTGTGATGGAGAAATTACATCACTATTGCTCGAAGCCTCCAAATTTAGGTCCCCAGAGATGACTGAGGGAACAGGCTGAGAACAGTCTATGCCAGTATATTCATCATCTTCATCTGCTCCAGTATCCAGTTTCTTTTCAGCAGGTGATGTTTCTGCTACAGACACTGGGGTGGTACTCCCCTTGGACTTAGAGAAGTCTTCCTGTTTGGACAATGAAGAGATCTCAGCTGGTCTAGACCTCCCTCTACTCCCAAATTTACTGGAATATAAAATAGCCTCTATGCGTGATCTTTCTTTAAATTTGTGTGTTCTAAACACAGGGAATTTGGGCTCATCTACATTACTGTCTTTCTCAGATGGTGCAGACTTGCCAGGCTTCTCCAATGGGCTTGTGCCATCGCACGCTGCCTCCTCCCCATCATTTTCTGTATCGCTATAGGTTTCCACCCTTGAGACCTGCACGAGATCTGGGTCGACCGAGGCTTCAGCTTCCTCTGTAGCTTGTTTCGCAGACGTCTTCACTGATGGTTCAGCCTTTTGAATTGGATCACAGGAAGCAGTCACATCGTTTTCTACAGTCTCTCCATTGGATAGCTCCTTGAACGACGTCAGCACGGGTGCATCAGCGTCCACAGAGGTGGTCCCATCCCGTGTGAAAAAATTGTTGAAGGCATTCATGATGGAACCAGTGGGATGCTTCCTCAGCTCATCTAAAATATTCTTTGTACGGTTTAGTTTTCCTCACAGTGACCTTTAGCTGAGAACAAAAGAAGCCAAGCCAAAACAACTAGTATTTTCAGGCAGGATCCACTGAAAAAGTCGCCAAAAAAAAAAAAAACACATTTCCCCACTTCTAGTTTTCCAATTTGTTTATGTTCCACCTCCAGGGCCGGCTGGGAACAAAAGGCCTCTGTATGGACAACTTCCCTGCACTCCTGTGTGCTTCGTCTGGCAAGTTAACCGGTTGGTTGTGGAAAGTTTTAAATATCACATGGTGAAAACTCCTGTCTGGAAATTGCTGGTGGTATGGTTTAGTCTCCTCCCTTTACCCAGGATTCCCATGACACAGCAAGTGAAGTCAAGCTGCTCAGCGGCTGGAAACCTGTCCTGCTGTAATCTCACCAGGAAAGCAGAACAGAGTCCACCTGTCTTTTATAAAAGCCTTTCCGACCCTTTGGCCTGTTCGAGTAGCGCTATCCACAAAGTTGCTCTCTCTGTGCCAGTCTGGAATCCAAAGTAAAAAAAAAGGTTTGTGCGCTTTAGCTTGAGCCAGGATTACAGGAAAACTTTCTGTGCTAGTGTGTGAGAAATCCCCTACAGATTGAAAAAAAAGAATTTCACAGTTCTGCCCAATCTGAGGACGCCTTCTTTCAGAACTCCTCCCATGAAGGGAGGGGTTCTGCAATGTGAGGCACTACAGGTATCTGATTACCTCTGCTTACTTCCTTTAAAAGGCTGTAAAAGTAAAAGCAATCACATTGAGGAGAAGGTAGTGGGGGGTGGGCGGTTTGACTGGGGTCCAACAGAAAGGTGTGGATTCCAGTAAAGCAGCATTGCAGCATTAGGTAGTGACCTTCTTCAGTACTGGTCTTTAGAAGGGGAAATGATTAGGGATTCTGGCCTCCTATTCAAGCTAAAATGCTAAGTCCTTAATATGTGATAAGAAGCTTTAGGAGAGGACATAGCTGAACTAAACTAGTAAAAATGACAAGCTGACCCACCTACCTTGGCAATAGCTAGAAACTGGTCCTCCATACACAAGACTTTTACAATAAAATGAAGTTTGGAAGTTTCTTTAGCGATTTAAAAGAACAAATTGTTTACAACGCTACCAACAAAATGACGAACAAAAATGAGGTGATGTGGTCCGCTGTCGTTTCAGAGTTTTTCCTTGTTTGTAAATCCGCTACGATCTTTGATAAAAATGACGGTGTTGTTGCCCCTAGCAACCGAAGAGCAGCCTTCATGAAAGCATTCCAGGCTGAGCCCATTTTAAACTGGACCATCCACTGGGAACACTGGGTTTTAAGTTAGGCTCTGGAAAGGTTTTTGGGTTGAGTTTTACGCGCTTTAAGTTTTTTAAATTAAAGTTAAAAAAAATTTAAATGGGGGGAAAAAAATGGGCAGAAATAGATTAAATAGGCACCAATGAGAATGAAAATTATTTGAGCAAATAAAGATTATATTTGCCAGTTTTATGGGTTAAAAAAATAACATTATGTTTTTATTGTCCAAACAGAGCCTTCAATAAAAAGACATATCAGTTAAAGTGTGATGCTAGTCATTTACAAGTTACAGACGATGCAAACATCTCCTTCATCGCTTAATGGATTCCACTTTTCCAACACATGAGAACATTTGAAGAGCTGTTATGAGAAAATAAAAAAGAAGCTAGTGGCAAAGAATTTGGGCCGAAGCCTAAAATAGTTGTCACTTTCACAACAATGCAAAAAAAGTTTAATCATACACAGCATGCCCTTTGTACTCTGCTTACAGTGTAGGCACTTCAGCTAAAAAACAATGCATAACTTCTGTAGGAACAAAGACACCAGCCACCTAAATCCACACCCAAATAATTTCACCTCATCCGTCACAGCAACAAAGGCCTCGGACAGACAGCATGATGGAATCTGGAGCGGCTCACATTTTGCAGATCATTCAGATGTCTGTCACCTGTTCAGCTGATTTAAAGCCTAAAGTCAGCTAAATGTTTCCAAGCACTTCAGAGTAAAGTAGAAGTGTATGTACTATGCAGCACAACTACATGCAAATCATCTTGTGTTGCAATTTTCTATTATAACATAACGGGGAAAAAAAGGAGTAAAGAAAAAAAAGAGCACTGGATTTTTAGGTGAATGTTTGAATGGAAAGATTTTGGTCAGTTTCGACTTTAGACCCAAGTCTCCAGATTAGAATTCATGATTCGTTGATCCATCTCAAAGAATTCATGATCAGCTGATGAAAAGCTTGAGTGTGGACTAATCCCCATGGGTTTTATGAACGGAGGGAGCCATGGGTACAACTTTGGTTTTTAAGTGTTTTTGCTGACGGCTCTCACCGTGCACTCCAGCTTGGGGTAGTAAGGTGTGTCCCCAATGATGTCATCCTCAGGTGGCGTGATGCGCAGGAAGTCCAGGCGATCAGGACGAGGGATGCGGGAAAGGACCTCCTGAGTATCATCACCATCCAGCATCCAAATATCATCCTGGCGCAGGAGGGAATCTTCTACACAAAGAAAGAAGTGACACTGGGTTACACAAGGCCTTAAAGGTAGAAAAGACCAAACAACATAGCAGGTGTGGTTCTATCCGACTCAGCTAAATAAGCAGCACCGACTGAAGCAAGTTGTTTTGCCTCTCACAATGTTGCTAAGCAGAAAGTAATAAATCATACAGCCAAATGTAATGCCACTTTAACTGGTGATATGTGACTTATCTGTGCTGCTGATTATCCATGCTGCTGATCTCTTGCCTTTAAGCTGCTGCATTCGTACCCATCTGCTCACTACAGGCTCATGTTCGGGCTGCTGTTTAATACACCGTTTAATACACCGTATGATTTTACATTATTAGTGTTTAGCGTACATCTTATATCCTTGTATACTGTTTCTTTTTATACTTTGTATTTTTGCTATTTTGGGGTGTAACTTAGATCTTGGGTACACAATGTTTTTTCCACCTCATGTACCACATGTGACAAAGAACCTTGAATCTCTTCAAATTAGTAGGCAATAACAGAAACCTATTTAGCAACAAGCTGAAGGGCACACAGCTATTTGTATCTGCATTTTGCTATTTCTTTCTCTCCCACAGTCAACACCATCACACTCGTTCACGAAAATACAGCTGCAGAACAATGGCTTCTAAAACAAAACTTTGATACTACTTAGTAATACATTCTATCTTCACTGTAACAGACGCAATGATACATTGCTTAGTATCACTAGTAAGAAAAAAAAAATATATATATATATTTTTAAAGCTATTTTAAGACCCTGATAGTGCAGGCCTGCTAGAATTTAATTTAAATTAGGAGAGAGTGCCCTCTCCTGACCATTCTGCATAATGCCACTGTTTTTTGTGATCCCCAACAAGAAACATACCTAAAATAGCAGTGGCTTGTTGCAGACTCTCCTGGTGAACCTAACTTCCTGAACAAAACACACTCTAAGACTGTCACATGTTTGGAAGTGTAGTTCAGCATGCCTAGATGTTTGAATTCTCTGTCTTAAAGGAGGGATGAGAAACAGACACCGAGGACAAATGAAAGGAAAAGAAGGGAAAGAATTTTAGTGTAGTTGAAAGATCAGAAGTTAAAAGGAAACTGGGAAATGCACCAAAAAAACCACTACATGCAAAGTTCAATGAAATGCTAAACTATGCTGAGTACAACATTTTTCAGTCAGGTCATCTGGACAGTTTCTTTTTTTGTGCTGAAACGTTTCGCCTTCGATCCGGAAGGCTTCATCAGTCAAGGAAACGCACAACACAAAACTGATTCTTCCCCCAACAGCTTACTCCAAAGTGGAACAAACCAGTTTTGTTTGTGATAAGATGGTCTCTTTGGTACGCCCCCGTTTCCATTGCCGGCCCTCTTCCTTGTTGACAGTCGTGTCAAACTGGTTGAAAACAACAAAGTTCATGCTCAATAATCCAGGTTTGTTGTTTTCAACCAGTTTGACACGACTGTCAACAAGAAAGAGGGCTGGCAATGGAGGCGGGGGCGTACCAAAGAGACCATCTTATCACAAGCAAAACTGGTTTGTTCCACTTTGGAGTAAGCTGTTGGGGGAAGAATCAGTTTTGTTGTGTGTTTCCTTGACTGATGAAGCCTTCCGGATCAAAGGCGAAACATTTCAGCACAAAAAAAGAAACTGTCCAGATGACCTGACTGAAAAATGTTGGATTGTATACATGGATTATTGAGCATGGACTTTGTTGTTTATGCTGAGTGCAGTCTCCTTGAAGAGGACACACTGTATTATGAGACTTTTGCATATTGTACACTTCTAAAGACTTGGAATGCATCATCAGTCTCTTTTTGTCTCTGCAAAAACCCTTTTAGTTTGAGGCATGAGAGTTTGCATTTTAGCGTCAGTAGTCTAGCACACGCACTGCAAGTCAGCAGTGATGGTTTGCAGTCATTTGGGGGTTTGATTCATGAAAAATGGTGGGATTAGATTAATACTTTTCATTATGATAATGCTGTGTTGCACAGCCCCACAGTGCAAACTGCTGACTGTGGGCTGGGCTGGTTCCAAATGCAGAGTTAAGCTCAGTCGGTGCCAAGTGAAGATGCCAGAGATCAGGAACAGCCCTCTTTACAATTTTTTTTTCTATTTTTTTTTTAACAGTTTATAACCACAAGCTGTACATCTGCTGCAAACACAAAAGCTATGTAATATACTTTATGTTATTAGTCTTGGTGTAGCAAAATAAAAATACAATTAAGGTGGTCCACACTGCCACCAACTAGACAAGGAAAGAACCGTCATTCCTTCCTACCATCTCTAACGTGCGCATCTTGAAATGACGCAAAGCTGCAATGTAAGAGGTGGGAACAAATATGGTGGAGAAACCGAATGCACTTGAAAGTAAAGGCACTGCATTTGCAGTGAATATTTCCCTGTTGACTTAATGCATAGCTTTCTAACATACCGTATTTTTCGCCGTATAAGTCACACTTTTTTGCATAAATTTGCAAGTCCTGCAACTTATACATTGATGCGACTTATTTATGTTTTTTTTCCCATATTAATAACCCAATTTTTGGCTGAGATCTGACGATTTCATTCATTCTGACATGGAAAATATTGAACACTACCATTTTCAGCCGCTAGAGGATCCTCAACTAAAATGGCAAGCCAAGTGTCGCATTAATAGGTAAAAGTGGCTATTAATGCGACACTTGGCTTGCCTTACACAGCCACCTTTGTCTCTCTCTGGAACTCCTGGAGCAAACGTCAAATCAGCTGCATTTTGCCACACCGCCCAGGTGAAATGCAGCTGATTTGACGTTAAAATGCATTTATTAAGGAAAAGTTCAACTGAGACACACCTTTACTATAATGTCGAGCAAACAAATAATTGTTTTTAAGTGTTAGTCTTGTTAAATTCTTGTTAAAGTCCTCCCATGCACGCTCCCATGGTCGCCATTTGGCAGCCAACCGATGCAACTTATACGGCGAAGCAACATATTTACGATTTTTCCCACTTTATTAGGACATTTTTGGGCTGATTCGACCTATACGGTGGAAAGTACGGTACATACAATAGACATAAAGAGGAAATGTGGTTGGAGAGCAAAGCTAAAAGCTTCTCATGTGAACATTTGTGTAGCTACAAATTTTATTGAACAGTATCCTGTTGCTCATCAGATGAGCCCCTCTCAATATAAGTAATTAAATCGCAAAACAACATAAATGGTACACTAAAAGTACATTTTAAAATGTGAAACTTAAAATTATAGGATTTTTTTTTCTGTTTGTATCAAAGACCTGTTGATTAAAAACACGCAACAACTCTCAGTAGACTCAATTTAATCCAAGGACTGTACTTGAGTCTCTCAGACATCTACAGTAGACAGATGTGTCTCCAAAAGAGCACATCTGCAGGATATGAATAGCAGTGCTATAATTTGACGGTAAAAATGTAAACGAGCAGCTGCCAGAGAAACGAGATGAGAGTTTTGATTATAATTTTAACAATCATATCTGGTTTTAGTGAATTATAGGCCATCAAATGTGTCAGAGTAGGTTTCAGTGGGTCAGTCTGCCTGTAACTTTATGATCTGATCATCACTCACTTAGAGCTTTTTCTAAACTATAAAGGGCAGACACATAATTCTTCAAAACCATCTCCTTTTCTCTAAGGAGTAATAAAAGACTCGGATCTTCCTTTAATATGTGTAATGAATCACTGCAGGCAAGCAAAAGGACCAGGCAGCACGATGGATCAGTGGTTAGCACTGTTGCCTCACAGCAAGAAGGTCCTGGGATCAATCCCTGGTTAGACCTGGGGTCTTTCTGTGTGGAGTTTGTATGTTCTTCTCGTGCTTGTGTGGGTTTTCTCCAGGTACTCTGTTTTCCTCCCACAGACTAAAAACATGCATGTTAGGCTGCCTTCAGGTCCAGACCTCCCTTGCAAAAGAGATCTGTGATCTCAATGGGATTTGTCTGGTTAAATAAAAGTTAATAAAAAAGCAAATTAGCAAAATGATGTGTAAATTACAGAAATCAAAATGACTAATTAATGATCCTCTATCCTCAGAGAGCCCAAATTACTTACTGCATCTTCAAAAACAACTAAACAGAACTGCCTGCACCCTATTTTATTCTCTAAAATCTTTAAACCTCATCAGTCAAAAGGCAAAATTGGGCTAAGTATGCTAAGTACATTTGGCTCCCTTTAACCTGCACCCTCACTTTTAAGCACAAAGAAAAAAAATCAATGACTTAATTTGCAAACCAAGAACGGTGCAGGTTTTATCAGTCTCCTCGCTTCTATTTGGTTACAACAATTTTTAGTAGTGTTGTTGGCTGAGGGGGTGACTCTCAGGCTGTCAGTTCACCTGTTTACCTGTCAAGCTCAGGCTCATGGTGCAGCAGCTGCAGGTGGAAACTAAAGGAAGAGCGTTGCTTCATCTTCTCTAAGAGCCTGAAGCAGAAACACAGCCTGACATGAGGCACGCAGAGACACCTTTATTCATTTGAGATGCAGTTTTGGACTTAAATAGGAGGGAATGTGTACTTTATTTCACCTTGCACGCCATGTAGGCCTGTCACAATAACAAATTATGCTGGGCGATTAATTGTCTCAGAAATTATTGCAATAAACGATAATACTGTTTGAAATTTGACAATAATTAGTAATTATTGTCAAATTTAAGAAGAATTTTTTGTGTGTAGTACCTTTTTTGACCACCGGATGGCAGTATAAGACTTTGAACCGAAGGATGGATAGTGAGGGAGGGATCAGCGTGTCTCTTTAAGAAAAATGGGAGGGAGGCCCCTTGACGTGACATGGGCTGTGTCTCCTTCCTTGTTTTTGGTTCTTAAAATGGCGGACGTTCTGTGTAGTTTGAGCTCTTTAGCATAGCATTTTTCACACAAAGCTTTTAATAAAAAATAAAAAAAAATCAGTAAACAAGTTCTCAGCTTCTTTTTGCAGAGAAAAACAATTTTTTTACACAAATGCACGAGTTTCAACCATGAATTTTGGAGCTTCGACAAGACGGAAGTTTTTTCCACGCAGTCGGCCTGTTAGCTTAACTCGTAGCTTAGCTTCACGGCTAAGCTGCTTTAAAGCCGATAAATGAAAATGAGGTCAATAATTTTAATTTATCATGCGATTAATTGATTTACTGTTTATTGCGACAGGCCTAACGCCACGAAATAAAAAGAACAGAAGATTTGGGTAACCTCTTCTTTTGGCTTTTCCCTCTTCAGCGAGTCATCCTCCTCCTAGAGAGATTAAATAGTAGAGTAAAAGCCGAAAGCGTGCAACATAGCTGACGTTTTCCAAGAAAAGTTATTTATTGCAGAAAATCTGTTAAACGTTGTACAAAGTAAGTGAGGGACCTTTGTGCTTCGTTTCTCTGCATGCAGCTCAGAGCGACAGCGTGAGACAGTCTCTTGGAGGACGTTTTAGCAGAACTGACTACATTATTTTAAGAAAAATGGCCGTTGTCTTCAGTGTTCGGAACAATGTTGCTTTGTAGAGAACTTTAAGTTGAATGGCAGCTAGCAGTGAGAGCTTGCTGCTGGAACATTGGAGATCATCTAATTATGGTATTGGCTGCCATATGTCAGAAAATACTAAGCAGAAAATCAAGGAAGGTATAAAGACAGGAAGCTATTCTAAACTCAGCAGTACTTGGGAACTCTGAGAATTTCTAATCATCTAAAAATCTAAAACTAAAAGCATTTTTCTACAACTTCTTCATTTAGTTCATTTGTACCTCCTTAAGCATAATTCTGATGGGATTTGTGGTCCATAATCTTAAACTGGTGAGCATTAGGAAACATTTAGGAGCCTCAACGGCCTCGTACATGGCTGTGAATGACACTCAGGCATACACTCCTCATTAAAATACTCTGAAGTGGCAGCATGATTAATATTAACACATAGAAACCATATTCACTGTGTAAAAATGGAGCATATGAGCTTTAGCTAATAAAATAAACAAGAGCATTTCTTTAAATTCACCTGCCTGTATGATTACACTCATGATTAAATCCGGAGCTTCAAATTAAAAGCCCTGATTAAAGAGCCTGTGAGATAATTAATTCAACGTTTGGAAACTATAAAGGGCCCAGCTTCACCATAACCCACTCATCGCCTTTGGCTGAGTCCTGTGATGTTCATTTATACATGTTAACATCTAAAGTGTAGTTAATTATCGAGCAACAAAAAGGCTATTTGCAAAAACAGCTTAGATTCAGCAAAGGGGGTGAAAAAACATTACAGTATAAGCAATTTAATGAGATTTTGCAATATGATGCCTGGTCTTTAATCATCTGTTAGCCCTTGAACTGTTATGAATGACTACATCTAGACGTGTTGTGATAAACAATAAATCAATTAATCGCATGATGAATGAAAATTATCTACCTCATTTTCATTTATCGGCTTTATCGTTTCTTCGTGTCTCTCTCTTTCTACTGAAGACACTGGATGACAAAAGGCTCAACTTCAGTGCTTTTCACGGAGCCCGCCCTTTCTCTTTAAAATCTGTTTTACAGCTAAGCTGAAAAGCTAAGCTAACAGGCCGACCTCGGGGGGGAGGGACTCCGTCTTGTCAAAGCTCCAAAATTCACGGATGAAACCCGTGACTGTGTAAAAAGGTTTTCTCTGCAAAAACAAGCTGAGAACTTGTTTACTGATTTATTTTATTAAAAGCTTTGTGTGACAAATGCTATGCTAAAGAGCTCAAACTACACCGAGCGTCCGCCATTTTGAGATTCGAAGAAAAGTAAAGCAAGCCGGCCCATGTCACGTCAAGGGGCCTCCCTCCCATTTTTCTTAGACACGCTGCTCGCTCCCTCACTATCCATCCATCGGTTCTCAAAAAAAGGTACTACACAGAAAAATTGACCCAACATTTCTTCTTAAATTGGACATTACTAACAATATTATCATTTATTGCAATAATTTCTGAGACGATTAATCGCCCTGCAAAATTTGTTATCGTGACAGGCCTAACTACATAATTTACATTTACATCACCTAAATGTTATTTTTGAAGTATGTGTTGGGAACAGCTCCCAGCTAACACACCAAAATTTAGTTTGTGACATCTGTAACATTGGCTGTGCTATATAGCCAGCTTTGGGGTTTCTAGTGTCAGTTGGTTGTGACGGCCATCTTGAATTAGGTTGATTCTAAAAAGGCAATAAACGGTAGAGCTACATCCATTGATTACTTTCTAAACGTTTCATTAACACACATCCAGTGGTTCATGACATATTTTGCTAACAGACTGACACAGTTGATTCCATTAGTTGACAGCAACGTTCTAAACACAGATCTTGATTAACGCTCAGAGTATAAATCAGGGGTCAATCTCAGCTATGACCACAACAAGCTTTTGCTTATTATTTGCAAAACTGGCTGAGTTAGAATTGTTTTTGTGTTTGCTGGTGCTCATCTTGAATTGGGTTGATTCCTAAAGTTTATCAGTCGTAAACATGAACCCAATGTATATTTTCTCAAAGTTTAATTAACATTTGTACAGGTGCTGATGAGATAACTTTCTAGCAGTCTACACAAACATTAATTCAACCTTTATTTATATACAGGTTCATCCCATTGAGCCTCGAGGACTCATTTACAGGAGACCTGATTCTAAACAAGCACAAGTGTGCACACAAACCAGGGCAAAAACATGATCAATTTGCCTTTGAATAATTTTTATTTTATTTATTTTTGGACCACTTATTGCCTCCGATGTGTGTCTCATCGGTGTATGAATGTGATAAAGCACTGATTGGTCTTTGTATGGATCTAGTCAAGTGCTGTATGAATGGGTAAATGGCAGTAGAGATTGTAGTGTAAATAGCTTTGAATATCTTAATAAGATAGAACGGTGTTATAAAGTCCATTTACCATTCACCGTTCTACAGGGGTTGCAACAGCAAACACACATGCACGAAAGAGCTGTCATTTGTTTTACACGTGACAAAACATGGGTCGAATCTGCAGCTTCAGGATTACAAGAATGCAGTTCCTGACCACTGACCTACATACTCACACCTTCAGATAAAAACTAAAACTTCCCTGTTGGGAGAGTAGCTGAAGACGTTCAGTAAAAATACTTGTTTCGCTGTGAGGGATTAAAAAGAATAGTAGTCCCTCGTTTATCGCTGGTGTTTGAGACCACGCCCACCCTCGATAAGTGAAAAACCGCGAAGTAGGGATACGGTAGTCCAAGTTCAAGTTGAGTTCAAGTTCAGTAAACTTTGTCGTGACATGTGCCAGGCTGTACTCATCACATGTCACTCCCAATCCCACTCCTTAAATAAACCAATTTAAATGTAAATACTGTAGCATTTTAAATAAACAATCCATGTTACAGTATTTAAATTTAAATTCTAGAGAAGAGAAGCGCAGCAGGATATCAAAGGGATGTCACTCAGCTTCAGCTCTGCAGCACGGAGCAGAAATGGAGAGGAGGAGGTCAGCTGATCAGCTGCAGGAGAGAGCTTTCTCTTGCACTTGTGGCCTGCACACATGGTGTAAAATCATTTAAAATTATTTTAAATAAACAAACCCATGGCTCATCCATCAATCAGCCAATTGTGTCATGTCCAATCTTATTTTGAAAATCTGCGATATAATGAACCCGTGAAGTAGCGAGGGACGAATGTGATTTAAACACAGACCAACATGTCATCTAAAGGGCAAAAGGTCAGCAGAAAGGCATGATCATGTGTGTGAAAGACAAGCTGGGAAAAAGAACTGCCTGGTGGCTGATCGTGGATGAAAACCCAAACTGACGTCTCTGAAGCAGACTTCTGATGTCATCATAGCTTTGCAAAGATTATGTGGAGTATACTGTGGGTGTTCAAATCCATTTATCACGTCTTTGTCAGATTTATGAGCGCAACGCAAGATTACAAAAGGATGTAAATAAGGACATGCTAATCCTTTTTTCTGCAGCTTTTTGTGCCTGAGGGGGTCTTGGGATTATTTTTTTGGTTCCCAGTAAACAAAAGTAGCCGATCCAGTGGAGTTCAAAACTGGTAAAGCTTCAGTTCAGTGTGCTCATGAGAACTCAGGTCAGGTCAAACTCCGTGTCGACATTAAGCCTTTGATCTGGGACACTCCTGCTAATCTCTGCCTTCCCCGCAGCGCCGAGTGAGGGGCACATGGATCATCAACAAAAGTATTCTCAGGACCTGCTCGCCCAGTGCACAACTCTGTTGGGAAGTTTTTAATTTGTAGCCGGGTAACAAGTTGAATCCAGAACCGCAGGAGTCACGAACCAGTGACGAGCTCCTTAAAGAAAAACGCACTCAAAGCAGCAGGAGCGACAAAGTTAAACTCCCCGTGATGAAATGGTTCAGCAGGTAGTGACGTTTCATCAAAGAACTCAAGTACCTGATCTGACACAAACAAACATAAACACACAACTGCATCTTGTTCAAGCGTTCCCTTTTCTTTTCTTGTTTTTTGAAATCCAGCGTCGGCGCTGCCAGATGAAAGGCCCGTTCTGACGAACTAAAGGCTCCGAGCCGATAAAGCCCTCACATCAAGGCCAGGCTCCAGAGGGAGGACCAGTGTTACTTCTAACAACTCACCTGTTGTTGTGGAGTTACTGGACGAGTTCCTCTTAGAGTTGCTCGGCGGCCCGTTGAGATCCAGCTCCAGCTGAGTGATGGTCCGCTTGTTGCCATTCTTGTCAGTGACGTCGGAAAAGATTTTGGCTTTGTCTGCGTTCCTGGAGCGGTCTCGGTCCAAGTCTTCGTCCTTATCTGAAAGCAGAACAATCCGGTGGTTGAGTTGCGGGCTCACTTGCTTGGAAGACAAAGGGGACAGCAGCGGGGACATGCTCTGGAGGCTGTTTGAAGTCGGGTACGACGTGTTGAAGACCCCTGCGAGGGACGGCGAAGAGGGGCTCTTTGTATGGAATCTGACTGGCGCTGAAGGTTCTGTGGTGTGGGATAGAGGCAGGTGGAGCCCCTCAGAACGTTTGGAGGTTCTGTCCTTGCTGACGTAGTTTCCATTTGGTTCTTTCCACTCTCCATTCTCCTGTTTACTTCCACAAAGTCCTGAATGTTCCTGAATTTGTGTTGCATGACTGACACGAAGAAGCTTCCCTTCCACTTCCTGCACTTTGGCAACAACCCTGACTCCCGCGTTCCTTTGGTTGATTTCGCTGTAAAGCTGCTGAGCAGACTTGACTGATGAACCGTTCTTAGAGAACGCCTCGACCGGTGGGTCAAATCTTTTAACAGGGCGCAGGTTGCTTTCGCTTTGCCGTCGGCTTAGACCCTCCATCAGGCTGCAGGAGGACGACCCATAACCGAGCTCACCGTCACACTCCGAGAAGTCGCTGCAGAAATCCATGACGGGGTCAAAAGTCTGGGTGTCCTCTGTGAAGTCCCAGCTCTTTGGAACAATCAACGGTTCATCTATCGGCAGTGTGGGATTACTGACAGCTCTGACACAGGAGTCAGTCACCGGGCTCTCAGACTCGCAGACTGCACTTCTTGAGGTTTTCTCTGCTTGATGAGTTGTGGATTGCTTGTTCTTTGCTGGCAGCTCTGCAAATGAATGCCTTTTACCAACGCTCTTTTTTATCTTACTCCGTAACAAATCCTCAGCATCGTCAACTTTCTTTCCCCCCACCTTCTTTACCTTTTTAGTCTTGGATGCAACTCTCCTCTGCTCCAGGAGGGAGTTGTTGCTGCTGAGGTCCTGACCTCCAGGGTGAACCTCCTGACCTTCCATGCATTCATCGAGTTTTCCATCTTGGTTGCCCATCCTGACTTTGCGAGCGCAGTTCCGACACAACGATAACAGTTCCACCAGCAACTGGTGGTGCTCAGCTGCCAGCCAGCAGAGCTCTTGAGCCGCTTCTTTCGTCGCCCGCTGCGCGTTAGACAATTTCCCAGCGGAGTCAGAAGACTGGCCTCTTTGTTTGGACGCTGCAGGATTCTTCTTCTCCCAGTCATGGTCATTACCCGCGCTTGCTGAACGAGAGGCGCGGCTCTTGTACTTGAAGCTCGGGGCCCGCCTCTTGGGGAAGTAGAGGCTGATGTTGCTAAGCTCACGGATGGGTGCGTACAGCAGGAGGACGGCGTGCGTGCCCTCCATGATGGGTGCCATGTCAGTGGTCAGTCGCGTCTGGGAGAAATCTCAAGCTGTACATCACCCGATGCTGCAAAAGAAAACAGAACAGACTTTAGATATAGATTAAACAGATTAATCAGAAGAGCAAGTTTAATCAGCCAATATGGGCCACTTTTTTAAAAGCTCGATGTTTGCACATCCTTAATGAATTACCAATAAAGATTCAGCACCGGCTCAGTGTAGCTTTAATTTATATTATTTTAAATGCACAAGATTTATTAAATATATGTTTATTTGAGTTAAGCAAATATTGTTATATTTTGCTTATTAGAAAATACTACTACTGCTAATAATAATAATAATACCAGTAATTTTAGATGTAAATTAAAGAGCCATTCCCATTTATCCCATAATTTCTACATGTCACTGTCCAGCCTGCAGTTTTCCTCAACACCCAACTCTGTTTCAGCTCCAGAAGCTTCCCAAAAAGTGCATAAAATCGCAGTTCATCAACATTATCCAAGCTGCTGCAGCCATCTCACGCACGGTGACGACACATGCATGCATGCGCTCCACGCCGAGCTACTGTCACCCTTGTTTACAAGCACAACATGCTCTCATTCCTCCTTACATGTAAGCTCATCTGTTTGTGTCATAACATAATCCCGTGGGTTACTGTCACCTTGCAACGACTGCTGGCCTAAAGATGGCAGCGAATATTAATATCCTTCAGGGTTTCGCGTTCAAGCTGCCAGCTATTATTGACATCCACATTATTATACTGAATTTATGGTTGTAAATGTTGCATATATAGCTAAATGAAGAACTGCGAATCTTCATCCTGTGTGATTCAGTTTAATGTTCATTAGAGAATGACAATAATAAGACCGAATTAGCTGTAGGGAAAATAGCAGTAGCAGTTTGAGGGAGGAAAAAACAAAAACAAACAAAAAAAAAAAAATAGTTACTCACCCGATTTTGATGGCGAGGTCCCCACATCTCTGTGCCGCAGCCAGCCAGTGAACACCGCTGCTCCGCTGGGTTCGCCTGCTGTGAGCAACGCGGCTTTCAGCCAATGGGTGAGCTCGTCGCTGGCGTTCTGCGCTATGATTGGCTGAGGGGGGCTCAGGGACCGCCCACAGCTTGAGTCAGCGCAGCTGCAGCTTGCAGGTGGGACATGTGACGGAAGTGAGGTTGTTTCTCTGCGGAACGGTGAGAATGAAGACGTTTTACGGCCCCTAGAATTTTATGACTCTGGAAATAATTTCCACTATTTTCTCAACAAATCTGAGCATCTTGACGAGCACGAAAGGCGAGCACGCTTTACCTTTTTAATGGTCGATGTTGACTTTTTGTTGTGAAACAGCGACGCCTAGTGGCCATTCTGTGGACCAAGTCTCCGTCAGGAAAGGGCAAACTAAATAGCAAGTGAACACAGTACTGTATGTGTGTGTGTTTAATATGTTTAATGTTTGATGTGTCTTTTAAACTTAATACAATTTATGATGGCATGCACAACCAAATGACCTTAGCAACACACAAATGACTGTAACTCAGCCATTTTCACAGATATTAAGCTCAAATTTGGTATGGTAGTGGCTGACCATCATCTCCAAAACATGCTCCGAGCACAAACCGATCGTATAAGATCTGTTTTAAACATTGTCATTAACTAATACAACCAACTCTCCCTGCGTGTTAACAAAATTTCTCATGAATCTCTGGATGGATTTCAAAGAAACTTTCTAAATGGGGAAAGCTTGTCTGCATGAACATTTGAAGCTACCTCAATTCAATGTCTGCCACAGCTAATTGATCTTATACCTTTCACAACTCTTTGGTGAGGTAGTAGCTGGCACTACCACACACTGAGAAGACTAAGATCATACGAGATATTGCAAAATCACATAATATTATGCGTACTATTTTAAAGATTTTATCAAAATGGGTACAATTCCATTATTTTGACATTTGGGATGATTGAAGTCTAAAACTATCATGAAAGGTAGAAAAGGAATATGCATTATTTTGAGGAGTGTTAGGTTTTTAATTATGTACTAAAGTTTATATTTGCGTTTGAACAGAGATGTTAAATTTTTATAACATTATTTATGGGTGAATACATTTTAAATAGCCATAGAAAAGTAAAGCAGTGAAACAAACAGTACTGTCTTCTCAAACTCATATTTTACTACCAAGAATTGTGATTCTAAACATTTTTTTAAATTTGTTTGGGATAGTTAGTTTTTTTTTTTTTTAGCAGTTTCATCTTCAAAAAAAAAAACAACAAAAAACAAAAAACACTAGATGATACAATTTCACAGTATATATATTTTTACCAATAAGATTGGTTCCCAAAGTCATGTTTTCTGAATAAACTGAACAAAAGAAAAGATGGAAAACATAAAAAACAACACCAAAACTATACAGTCAATGAATATAGTCACAATCATAAAAAACAATTAGTTCTAAACAAACGAGACCGTGACACAGCACCTAAGAGATGCATCTTTATTCAGCTGATCCTTCCAGTGTTTGCACATGTCTGGTCTCAGTGGAAAAACACCTGATGAACAGAGACAGAAAATACTGTTGTTGCAAATAAATCAGTAACACGTATCATGGAATGACTAATCATAATTTGAAATTGTTTTAAAATGGGGTGCTGGTTATTTCGTCACTAATACCATACCCCCATTTTGTACCCACTGGTTGACATTTCATTCCTATTGGTTACAAAATGGTTACCACTTTGCATCATTTCCAGCATGCATTCGTGCACCTGTCGAGGCTTCCCATGTGTGCAAGTCTGCATTAACATATGCACAAACCCTCAAAAACAACTGAACTTTGTTTAATGGTGAACATCAGCTACAACTAATCAAATACAGGTTTTATGACAGTGATAAACCATCTTCAAAGATGTACTCCAGTACATTAAATTGTCTATACCGGGTAGGCGTAATGGCTTACAATGATGTGTAAATTGTGCTCAGACTCTCAACAGCATTGGTTTATTGAAGTAGATACAGCTTGTGTAAAATACAAAGTGTGTTTCCTTGTGTTTTTATACAAATGTGGTACTTTAATTACATTAGGAGCTTAATTATTGAATAGAACTTTAAAATCTGGGGTTAAACATCTAGGACTACAACTCAAATATTCAGACCTAACAATGCATGTGTTTAATAAATTAAATAATGTAAACACAGTAGGTTAGGAGCTCAATAGGTCTTAGAGGCTTATTCTGTAAATTGTTGATGTGAAGAAACGAGTCTTCATCGGATTGTTTCAGCCGCGGAGTGGGGGAATGATAATATCTGTGCATCATGAGGTCATGTGTTACAGATGGCCTGGCACCAGTATCATCAGTATTTGCTGATCAGACACCGTTTTATTCTCAGTGAGACTGAAGTGACCTTTATAGAGTTCACATATTTAATGCTCCTCATCTGTCTGTGTGCCTCTCTCAGTGCACACTGATGCATGTGTACAGCTAAACATGACAACAATATAAGAAACGTCACAGTTTGCATTGTAGTGAAGTTGTTTTAATCATTTGTGATGCATGTTTGAGGTTAGTTTCCTTGTTCCAATTTAAACCATAAGTTCCCAAATTTAGCATATACTATATTTCTATATATTCATATATAAAGTGCATATTTATATCTGCATTTATCTTTACATTTCTTTGACACTGATACAACTTGTCACCGTACTTTTAGACACATAAAATGAAAGTCTTGCACATACGAACTAGAATATTTCACAAAATACAACAAAGCTAAATGGCACGTAGTGTGCATAATTAAAGGAAATAAACCCTCCGATAAACCACACACAGAAAAGTGTATAAGGATAAGAAAAACTGCAGAAAACGAGGAAGCAAGTGGAGGAAACAAGCCTGCGGGTGTGTCAGGTTGCTGCAGTTCACAGCTCTGCCTGTAGAGGGCAGCATTGTATCATTAAAACAACCAGAGACAGTTGAAATCTAAATCTGCTGTTGTTATGGAGATAAGTGAGCTCAATGTTTGGTGAACTGACCTTACTGATCTTTATTACACCACAGAAAAGAAGTCCTACTTTGCATTTCTTAATATTTAACCGAGTTTAGTGTGACTCTATGCATCCATTAATACGTTTAATACTTCAATACAGTCATAACAATATGTTAGACTTACAGGGTTGTTTTTTTTTAAATAAAGCCTTGTTTATAAAACAATGGACAATTTGTTCAAATTAATCATTTACACCAGTTTTTATATTAGTTGCAGGGTGACGTCAGTCAGGCCTTTAACCAGCAGCCTCCAGCGCTGGAAACGAGCAGTCGCGCGCGAGCCGGGGCGCTGACCGCGGTGCTGATCTGAGTGAGGCTCTCCTGCGGGAACTCCACCAAAACGCACGCAGAGCCGCGCGTGCGCGTGTGCGCTCGCTAACTGTTTGAATATTCGCGCGTTCACGTTAACGAGCACGGACGGTGACGTCAAAGATAAAGACCCGCTGCTGCTGAGCCTCACCCCCCCCCCCCCCTCCACCGGGTCGCCTCAGCTCTTCAGCCCGCCGGTGCCGACACGCACTCCTCCGCCGGGCGCGAGCACACGCGGGCTCGACCGCCACATGCTGCGGTATTCTGCACCGCTGGACGGCCGTGGATTAGCTTTATGCTAATATCGAGAGGCGCGAGGAGCCAGCGGAGTGTGCACGGGCTCCTTTCTTCGCAGCCATGGCTGAAGGAGGAGAAGGAGAGGATGAGATCCAGTTCCTCAGGACTGTAAGTAGATTTCCCGGCTGCTCCCCGTCATCTGGGAGGGGATGTTTCTGTCGATTGTGCAGCACTTTCCCACCCTGGCATGCTTATTTAAAAAAATATATATTTTAATTTTTTTAAATTGTAACCACACAGCTTGAAGATCCTAACAGGCGCGGGGATGGATGTGTTGTTTTGCGCATGGCTCCCTGTCAGCTATTGTTTTTTTTCTTTCCTCCTGCAGTCTCTGTCTCCAGAAGTTCACAGCAGCAGCATCCCTGCCCTGCAAAACTTACAATTTACACTTCTGCATTATTCAATTATTCAAACAAATGGTTTTGAACTTAAAACCACTTATTGGATGATCACTTCAAAAAAAAAAAAAAAAGGGGGTGCTTGTCCCACAGGGTGCAGCAGCTAAAGTCTAAATGAGCCAAGAGCGCCTCTTAATAAGACAGTGCTGTCTCACTTGTTGGACTCAAAGCCAGTTTGTTGTTATTTCTGGATTAAGCGTTCCCTAAACTATCTGCTTCCCTTGGGAGTCCCTGAAAATGAGGCTAAACTGATAACGTGATGTGGTCAAAAGCGTTTTAGAGACGCACAAAGCGTGAAAAGACGCCACTCGTTCAGAGTAGATGGAGGAGTTTAGAGCTGGAGGTCTTCCAGCGAGGCCCCTGAGACAGTAGGAGGTGTTTGGTTGCACATATCACCGGCACTGCTGCTTGTGGTCTCCCTTTATTAAGCTGCTCGTGGAAGCCCAACCTGCTGTGCAGCGAGGCAAACAGCACGGATATCCTTCGTTTTACAGAAAGCAAGCCTGTATCTTTTGTAAACTATAAATTGTGACATTTGAAGTGGATACTATGAGGACATATAGGTGTCCTTCAGAGAAGCAGGACGCATGCACAAAATATATCCTGATGCTCCGACAGCAGATGTTCGACCATGTCAGTCTGGCCTCTGATGTCATCAAACCAAAGAACAAAACAACCTGAACAAAAATAAGTTATTAAGGAACGCTTAAGGAAGTTACGGTATTAAATAAAATGGATTTTTGTACAAAGTAAGTTTGAGTTTTAACTAAAATAGGTCTAAACCTTTTTTGTTTCTTTGCCAGTTTTGTCAGAGGAAATCTGTTAGCAGTCAGAGAATGCACTGAGGATGACTCTCAGCTACTACCACACCGCAGCTTGCCTCCATATCTGTCAAATTCACCCAGACATTTACTGTATGTGTTACTGTCTGAGCGTTTTAAGTCCTCTGTTGGTTCATGGTATATTTTGCTAACAGGAAGACAAAGGGTTGTGCTCTGAGTATGTATTAGTAACGACTCTCAACTACTACCACACCAAATGTGAGCTCAACGTTTGTGAAGTTGGTCGAGTTGTAGACATTGTTGTGATGGGCAGTTGTGGCATTGAGTCGACTCCCAGAATTAATAAATCATAGAGCTGTGACCTATCAGATCATTTTTACTTAATGTGCATCTCTAACCTGGAATGCATAGTCATCATAAGTGTGTTTACATTAATATATATTTTTATTGTTCTTTGGCAGCTTTTTGCATCTGCTTGTTTTCAAGTTTTACTTTGATTGTGTGAACTCTTTACGAAGCATTCACACTGTTGTGACGCATTTTTCTTCTGTATGTTTTTCGGCATCTGTCTTGTTCCAGTTTTCAAGCTATTTCAACAAATCATGTATCAAAGCATTCAGCTCTTTCAGGACAATCCTGTTATGACTTTTGGTATTGGTGCAACTTTAGCTTTTTGAAATATTTAGCCTTTTCTGCCACTTTTTTCCTCATAGAAAATGAATTCCGCTCGTTTTACCTCCTTCAAATCGTTAGGTCTGTTTATAAGCTTTACTGCTCCTTTCAAGTTTTGTTCAGCTTCCTCATGCAAACTTATCATTTTTCCCAGCTACTTTCAACAATTTCAGCTGTTTTTTCAGCTGTTTTGTGCTCCTTTCAGATTCTTTCTGCTAACTACAATATTTGTGTACTTCTTCTGACTTCTTTCTGCTAATTTCAGCTTATGCTCCTTTCAGCTTATTTATGCACGTTTTAGCTTTTTTATTTCTCAGCTACTATTTAGCTGCTTTTTGCTAATTTTAGCTTTTTCAGCTAATTCCATTTTTTAAGCTCATTTCAGCTCTTTCCACTTCATTCTGGTAGTTTAAACTTATTTCTGCCTTTTAGCTATACTTTTTAGCCATTTTTTTCTAATTTCAGCTTTTTTTTTTTAGTAAATTTCATAATTTTTGTGCTAATTTCTGCTTATTTAAACCTATTTAAGGAAATACATGTTCTTTCTTCTTTCATATGCTAATTTAGGCTTGTTCTTTAATTTCAGCTACATTTCAGCTGTTTTTCAGTAAGTTATTTTGCAATAAGCATTCACACTGCATTTTTGCAGGAAATGCAGTTTCTCTAGTTTTTGTTCATGTTTGATACTAACCTGCCAATGATGGGACTACAGATCCCCCCCCCCCCC